AAAAGAAGAAGAAGAAGAAGAAGAAGAAGAAGAAGAAGAAGAAGAAGAAGAAGAAGAAGAAGAAGAAGAAGAAGAAGAAGAAGAAGAAGAAGAAGAAGAAGAAGAAGAAGAAGAAGAAGAAGAAGAAGAAGAAGAAGAAGAAGAAGAAGAAGAAGAAGAAGAAGAAGAAGAAGAAGAAGAAGAAGAAGAAGAAGAAGCGTTTCCAGCAAGTGCAGAGTGGTTTAGAAAGGCAAATGGCGCTATTCCTGAATGCCAGTGAGACAAATTGCTTCTCCTCTGTGTTACTTACCTGTTTTATTAAGACAAAATGTGGTTGCCTTGAATATCTTTTTCTCTGCTTCTTCTTCTTTTTTTTGGTACCATCACAATATGGCCAGAAGGAGGAGCAAGAGGACAACCAGAATTTAGCCCACAAGGAAGAAAAAAGAAACACTACTAAGAACCTTACACTACTACTGTATAATAGATTGCCTCCTTCATGTCAAACTTCACTTACCCTTAACTAATTATGAATCTCTGTCCATGTCTCCTTGCAGACATATACATTAATTCTGACAGCTTTAACCTAGCAGTACAAAAGCCTCAGACAGTCTGGCACCAAAGCCAATCAATAAGTAAAGTTCACTTTTTCTAATAATTCATTGCCTATGGGAATCTTATTTGCAGGAAAGCTAGGCCTTAGGGGAAAAAAATTAATGTAATCTCACTTTACTCATAGGCTTAAACTGTGTCCAGACTAGCTTCCTGACTGCAAAGTTTGCAGGAAGAAGCCCAGAAATTAAGAAAGATGGGTGAATGACCTACAGAAGAAAAATCTACATGAAAGTTCTCTAGACTGGATGAGAAAGTTAGCTAAATATATATAATTTCAAACTGCGTCGAAAACCTGCCATCTGAACTAGCTACCTCATCTCTAGCAGCAAATCTTCCTGGATTTTCAGTAGTTCTATCAGAGCATGAATTCCTGTAAATGCATAACAAGCTTCCACCGTAACTACAGATTTTATTCATTATATGTTGAATCAAATACAGATTGAATAGTGACAGTTGCAAACTAGCATACATCTAGAGGGAAAACTCAATTGGCAGAAGTAGCTTTTCTCAGAAGACTTAGTTGTTCAGGGAAGGCTTCTATGATTTTTTTTTCCCCTTTCCCACATCTATAGAAAAAGAATAACTGTGTTGCAGGATATCTTCTTTTATGGGAAAATCCCAAAAAGTTATCCTTGAGCCAATGAGGACTCCAGCCAAACTAATTGGGACATTTATCCTTCCTTCCTTCCTTCCTTCCTTCCTTCCTTCCTTCCTTCCTTCCTTCCTTCCTTCCTTCCTTCCTTCCTTGTCAAAATCTCATTCCATTACCCCATGGATTTATAATCAGTAATTATCAGAGAAGATTCCAGAGTGATCTGGTAAAAGTTTGTTGATCTTGATTCATCAGTGGCACATCTTTTCCCTTTGAGATGCTTTGTAAAAGCTTGCATATACTGACAGAGATTGTCACCTTCCAGCAATATATATATATATTGGACCGACCCCCACACAAAGCAAACGGACACACGCCATGAACACAGAGCTAGACCGCAAACTCAGAGCCAAACCAAAGCCCGGTATGCTACATCACAGCCTTCTGCTCTGGACATCACATCACAGAACTCAGGAGGTTACAACGCTAAAGCTCAGGATGTTACAACACAGCCAACCACCCAGGATGTTGCAACACAAAACTCAGGATATCACTACACTAGATCTGAGGATGTAATCACACAACCCATTACCCAGGTCGTTATAACACAAAAGACTAATGGGCACACAGCCAGCACCTCAACTATTCAGGATGTTACGAAACAGCTGAACATTACATAAACAATAACAGCCAACCAATCCACACAGCCAACCAATCCACCTACAGCAACTAAGCCAGCACTCCATACCCCCCCCACCAATATTTATAGAGAGACGGCAGCTCCGATCACACTTTGCTCGCACAAGCACGAAGCCGAAGACCCCAGCCTGAAGATGACGAGTGGGACCTCGTCGAAACGTCGCCAAGATACTCTTAATCTTACACAGGAAAAGACCAGAATACGCCAAGACCTACATACCTGTACCCGTGAAAATCTACAAAAACACACATATATATATATATCCATTTCAAATCACAGCTGTACTTTATTAGTATGCAAAGGACATGCATGGGTTGCTGATTGACAGGTTCCCCCAGGTTGCTTCATGTAATGTCTCTCCTGGGTCCCAGGGACTGCTTTTGCAATCAAAGGCAGGAATGTGAGAAACAGCAATGGGACCACTCACATGCTTAGACCACTCTTCAGAAGAAAGGCTGGCATATCAGCATGTTCTAATTGACATTAGAGCCATAAAAGAATTCTCCAGATATGCATGATCTCAGTGAGAGCCTAGAGAGGAAGGAGACTATGGACTCCAGAAGATGGTAGAGGACAGGAAGGCCTGGAGCAACGTTGTCCATGGGGTCGCGATGGGTCAGACACGACTTCGCAACTAAAAACAACTTGACTTCCTCTTTACTGATGGGGTGTCTTTTGATCTGGACAAGGAATGGGTATTGTAAAAAATTTATAAAAAGACAGATAATTTTTCATTGGTTCATCAATCTTCTTTGGCCCCTGGTTTTTTGGGAGGGGAGAAGGGGTGGAGAGGATTTTTATGTATTTGCTTCTTTAGAACCAGAATGTTTTGTTTTTTTTTTGTAATCACAGACCATCACACAATACTGTAAAATATACTACAAAGGAGAGACAGAGACAGAAGGGGGGGGAATCTAATTAAGAAAACCCAAATGAAAT